CACTGAGACAACTTATTATGAGCACAATAATAAGTACTTAATTTATTATTTTAGTGCTTTAAATAACACCAAAAAGACAAAATATTAAAAAAAAAAAAATTTAATGTGAAAAAGTTAAACCTAATTTTAAATATTTTTGAAATTTTAATTTAAAACTAAACTTTACGCTTTAATTATTAAAATGTAATATATAATTTACTAAAGGACCTAAAAGTTGTTAAAATGTTCTAATGTAAAGACACATATTTTATCTATTTTTTATTTGAATTATGTGCATTTTTTGGGCTTCGTAACATTTTGAAATTTTATGGCTTTATTAAAATTTAAGCATTTTTATGGCTTCTTAAATTTTTTGCATTTTTAAAACTTCATTAAAATATGCAACTAAAAAAAATTGTACCTATTTTGACTTCTTTGAAATTTTTGTCTAATACGGTACTAAAATAGCTTTAAACAAAAAAAAAAGCAAAATAGTGCTTGAAAATATACATCAAATTTTTTATTTTGCTCATTGGATTTTAATACAAATTTATACCTTACTAAAATAATCCTAGAACCTATAAAAAAAAAAAAACAAAAATGCAAATTCTAGAAGATATAAGCCTAATAATGAGTATAAAAATAAACATACGAGTTGATTGATAATTTCTTCAGAAATTATCCTTTTGAATTAAACGAAAGATATTATAATATGTGTGTCGAACTTGCTTTGATATTAATTGGGAAATTAGCATAGATTGTTAAATATTTTTTAGATATTGAAAAATAATTATATATTCTTTATCCTTCAAGTATTCATTATAAATAGAATAAAAACATTTTTAATCATATAATAGAATGATAAGTATAGAGAAAATTTTTATGAAGAATGCTATGGATATAAAACAATTTTTTGTGTTAAATTTAGTTTATTATTTAGTCAATTGCCGTGCAATCGATCGCTTTACTAAACGAAATATATGAATGTTTCATAAACGTACCCGAAAAGAGAATATGACTTTGAAATAATGGTTGATAAAAAATATGCTCGTTGGGCCAACTTCTTCGAAAACTAGTTACCAACTTAGTTTATAAAGGCGTTTCATATCTTTTTCCAGTTAATGTAACTGATCGATGGGCTTAGAATACAGATTCGAAACTTTATTGTAATCAAATGAAACACATACGTACTGTAGTCTATTTCAAATATTCGACATTATTCTGTTTTAGCTTTGATGAGTATCTGAAAAAGCTATACTATGGTTTTTTTTTTTTTTTTTGTCACTGAACATGGTTTTGTTCAACAATGCTCAGAAGATCATTGATGAACTCGGTATGGCTAAAATAAAAATTATAGATGCATAAACTTCAAAATTCTAGAAATAATGTTTTGGACGGATTATTGCGAAATTTTATTCGATTTAAACATTTGCCTTGCCGAAGATATACTTTTATTTGAAAATTCAATAATTTACTAAAGTACTGAATAATCATCATTCAATTTTTTTTTTCTCCAATAATTGATAATATTTCAAAAATTTAACTTATTCAAACTTACGTCAAATTAAAACTAATAGATTAGCTAGATTTTAGATTAGATCTAACTAAAAGATGATAAATGAAAATCTATACGAAATCTCGGTTTTTAGAAATTATTGGGCATTGAAGCCTGATTAATGTATATGATTAAAAAAATAAAAACATTCTGGTGACTTGCCACAATGAGTAATATAATTATTAGTGGATATGTTAAATTTTAACTTCGATGCGAATCTGAGAAGGTGTCAATTTTACTATGATGAAATTCACGATGTTATTTTCAATTAAACTAGATACGATAAAAGTATAGAATTTAATATTAGCAATTGATTTCATGGTGACCTTGACACACCATTTTCTTATTAAGCCATGCGCACACATAAAATTTCCATTCGTCTGCAATTGCAATGTACAAGCTTGTGGTAAAATTAAAAAATAAACACATAAAACGTTTATAAATAAGTATAGCATTCTTTTGGTATGATTCTTGTGAAAATCCAATAAACATCCTAAATATAGAAAGGGTTTGAACGAGACCGCCCACGCGAATAAACATATTGTTGGAAAAATTACAAACATCTAAATTTCTGCGAAATGCAGCATACTAGCATCGAATTGTTTAATATGATAATAATTATTGCCAGATATTTTTTATACTTATACCAACTATGCCACGACCTCACTGTATTCGGTTTTCTGAAGTTTAGTCATAAGAAAAAAAACATTTTATTTACTTATATACTTCTAAACATTAAGCATTTTTTGTGTAGCTTTTCTCAGAAGTAGTTAGGTATTAAACGCAAATATAGAACATCAAATAGAATTGAACAAACATACGTTAATGATTCACTGCAGATAGATAAAAATCTAGGGTCTCTAGTACACCGATAATATAAGAACGACCGCCGTCCCGTTAACCTTTTAAAGGTTAACTTTAAAAGCGATTGGAATCATCGCCAACTATAGAAATAAATAAAATCCTATAGGATATAATTTTTTATCATAAACTCTTATTCAATTATTTGCAGAATAAAAATAATTTCAATTTTTTTTTTCATCAATTTTTAGTACGTATTTTTATCGAATTTTTGGCTATGAAATACTTTATACATTTTTATGGCGTAGGGGTATAAATTTGTTTTTTAATAGCGAATAGTGTTAAGAAAACTTCATCTGTATATTAAACATAAAGTATCGGCTTTTTGAGATAATTTATGTGTATTAGGCTGGATCACTAAAAATCGATTTTCAAAATTTTAATTAAAATCATTTTTTTTTTTATAGATTAAAATAAGCATTTTGTGAAGATTTGAGATTTAAAAAAAAGAAATTTCTGGTCGCTCCACGTGTTTTTAGTATTTTATAGTAACTCAAAAAGAAATAGATAGTGATATTTATTATAATAGACGAGAGATGTGTAAGGAGAGAGTTACTATTTGTTTTTCATAGTTTTAATTCTCAGGTAAGAGGTCGAGGGTAATAGAAAGACACAGTGATTTTTAGCGATCACTTAATCCTTTCTTTGTTCCTATTGTAACCATGCACTTAAAAGAAGTAATTTTTTAAACCTTATTAATTTATTTAACTAGTAACATCCTCTAGACATCCTCCGGAGACCTTGGTGTTTCCTGGAGGATGTCTAGAGAATGAATGAAGTCGTCTTATTTACTTTAAATAAACTTGAACGTCCTTGTTCACTACATATACATGAATTAAACAATTGAGATCAATGAACTGCGTGAATATTGATAGAACTTAGAGTGTGTGTAGATAAATGAAGAATGAGCCCCAGGAGTATACTACCGGAACACTGAGAGTATGCTGAGGTATACTGCACCGTTTAAGCCTTTTTTAGTTTCTTTTATATTTCTGTTTTGTTAATTTTTATAGCTATATTCATGTGCAAGAAGTGTCAGAAACGCTGTTGTTATCATTTTATTAAATTGATTATATAATTGACTACATGTTATCTTAAAAATCAATATACAATTCTGTACAATGATAAATTATTTTATTACATTATTGACTTATATATGACAGTTTATATTATTATTTATGTGCATTTTATTATTTATATGATATATTATTTATTTGATATAGTTTATAGCTTAACAAATGAAATAGTGTTGATGTTAACAATATGTAACAGTATGACAATTTTTACTAGACAATAGTTATCATAGTTTATTGCTTAGATAAAAATTGTAATGAGAGGTGAATGTATCATAACAATATTGACCAAAAACACTCCAAAACTCTGCCTCTGTTATTCAATTTTTGGTTACATTTTATGACTAGTATATCAAAATTGTTTGATTTTCATTGTAAAATACAAATTTTTAAGTTTCAAAATTTTAAGCAAAAAATTGATAGCGTGGATATCATAACTAACGTCATTACATGGTATATTTTTAGTAGGTCCAAGTAAGCTTAATTTTTTTTTTTATGCAGTTTGGTTGATAGTTATTATTAGTATTAGTAATATTATTAGAATAAAAAAAATATTCATTTATCTTAAAAACATATACCTTTTTTTAATGATAAAGTGTAAGCTAAAATATATGATATTCTTGAAAAAATATATTTGACATTTAATATTTATAATTTTTTTTTTTTTTTTATCAAACCATTTATGTATATAGATTTAATTTGATTAATTTATACAATTATTTTAGTATTCTCAGTTTTACAAAACTATTATTATTTATATCTCAAGTCAATCAGGGGGACTATTTTTGAATCGTCCGTTCGTCGAACGTATACGTTCCTTGAATGAACACGTTCCTCGAACGGACACGTTCCTCGAAATAAAGGAGACACAGCAATTGTGTACCTTAGTTGCTGGAGAGATATACAGGCAGGCCCGCATTTAGGGGGGGGCATTGGGGGCATTTGCCCCGGGCGGCAAAAATCTTAATAGGTATACAATTTTTAAAAATTAATTATTTTTATTTAATTTAAAATTTTTTCAAACAGAACAATTTATTTTTATGAAACAAAAATATCTATTTCTAAAAAAAATATTACTTTATTATTTTCTAACTTAAAACGTGTACAAAGATATAAATGTAAAAGAAGATATATCAAAGCTGTATAACAACATAGACTACAGTTAGTAGTTAGATAATAGTATTGATTATAAATAGTATTTTTATAATCAACAGCACTATAAATAAAGTAGGCGGCAATTTATTTGATTCATGTTTTTATCTAATTTTAACAAAGTATTGATATTTTCTCCCTTAAACTGGTTTTGTGGATGTCGTCGGCCGTTGATAGTCGATTATTATTGGAATACTAAGAAAGTTAAAACACAATAATTTGTCTCATTTTTCACAAAATTACTATCTAATAATGTCATACTAATAATGTGTTGTGTACAGACAGCTCATTGTGTTTAGTACTCGACTACAAGTGACCGACTTAATGTGTTGAGGTGTTTTTTTTTATTTGTATATTTTATTATTTATTAACGTATTAAAATGAGTGATGGCAGAAAACGTTTAAGTGGAAGTGCTTATAAAAAAGTTGCTAAATTAAAATTAGAAAAAGAACAAAAAGTCATTTCTCAAACCGCAAAATTAACTTCATTTTCTGGCAATCAACGACCATCAATCTCCAATTCGCCAAGTGAAATAGAGACTATAGCTGAACAGATTTCAAATGAGTCTAGTGATAAAAAGTAATTTAAAAATCAAATGTTAACTTTTGTACGTTATTTCAGTTTTATATAAATGAAAAATTTTATATTTTGTTTAGTGAGCCTAATCTTCAGAGTCCTCTTGAAGCCCTAGCAAATGAAAATCAAATAATTGAAAATTCGGAAAAACAATTAATAAATACGTCTTCTATTGCACCAAGGTAAGGCGTACAAATCAAAAAGAATGCTTGAAGCATATGTTATCTCATCTGCGTTAATTCAGTTTTTTATAAATAAACAATTTTATAATTTTTTAGTGAACATCCTCTACATAGTACTTTTGAAACCATGGCAAATGAAAATCAATTAATTGAATATTCGGAATTATTAAATACGCCAACTAAAAAACCCAATCCAACACTTTTTGGGGGGCGGCAAAATTAAGAGCACCGGGCGGCAAAATTCCTAAATGCGACCCTGNTGTTAATTGGTGAAGCAATATGTTCTTCATCACTGTATACAGGGTGGCCCACCACTCACTGACAACTTAAATAACTTTTGATCCAGTTAATATTTTTTTTAAATAATAGTTATACGTTAGGTCTATAGCTATATCTCAATAATTAATGTTTTTACATTTTATTAAAAATATTAATTATTTTTAAATTTTAAATAAAATGTAAAAAAAAAATCTAAGATAGCTATTTTGTAGAGTAGAATTTAAGAAAAATTTTAGTAAAAAAATATCTTATTAATATTCAGTAGTAAATATTCTGTAGCGTTTTGAAGTTTGT